AATGTTTAAGACAGCACGGTCCGCAACAACAAGCGGTGAGTTTTACAAGCTGCGCTCTTCACTGCACGGGGGGGGGGAGTCGTGAGCTGTGCCCGGAGGAGGCCTGGTGGGTGCACGGATGAGTTACGCACCCCGCACATAACAGTTATGACTAAGGCCTGTGGTGGGGAGACTGTTTTAAAGATACCTGACCCCCCGGGGGTTGGGGGTGGGGAAAGGCATAAGGGGTTTTCACAAAGGATTACTAGATTCCAGTTTGTGATGTCAGGCTCTTCAAAACATTGCAAATTCCATTCTCATTGACTAGGAGCCAAAATGATCAATAAATTGATCGTAGACACTTAATATATACAAGAAAAAGAAGAAGAAGAAAACGTATATATGTGAGGAAATAAGACTACCCTCAAATAGACCTAAGTCTGTTGATGTCAGGGGCGTCTGGGTAGCGTTAGAACTACGGATTTGGGGGGGGGGGAGGGGGGGGAGTGTGGCTCAAAAAATATTTTGTCATCGGCAACAAGTCTATGTGTCAACTTTTAAGCTTGATTGAATGACGGGAAGCGGGTCACTTAGCCGTCCGAAGATTTTTGCCTTAAACTAAGACAGGAACAAAGGCGAAGTTGCTCTACGGGATTTACAAATGCACTACGATATTTTAAGTAGAAAAGAGTTAGTGTCGCGCTTACATATTGAGGAGATAGAACGTTAGTGTTGAAACATTCGTGTGAGGAGATAGAACGTTAGTGTTGAAACATTCGTGTGAGGAGATAGAACGTTAGTGTTGAAACATTCGTGTGAGGAGATAGAACGTTAGTGTTGAAACATTCGTGTGAGGAGATAGAACGTTAGTGTTGAAACATTCGTGTGAGGAGATAGAACGTTAGTGTTGAAACATTCGTGTGAGGAGATAGAACGTTAGTGTTGAAACATTCGTGTGAGGAGATAGAACGTTAGTGTTGAAACATTCGTGTGAGGAGATAGAACGTTAGTGTTGAAACATTCGTGTGAGGAGATAGAACGTTAGTGTTGAAACATTCGTGTGAGGAGATAGAACGTTAGTGTTGAAACATTCGTGTGAGGAGATAGAACGTTAGTGTTGAAACATTCGTGTGAGGAGATAGAACGTTAGTGTTGAAACATTCGTGTGAGGAGATAGAACGTTAGTGTTGAAACATTCGTGTGAGGAGNGGGGGGGGGGGGGGGGGGGGGTTAGGGGAGTGGGTAGAGAAGGATGGTCGACTAGCTGGAACGAGAGAAAGTGTGGATGGATGAAAATAATATGGTGAGATAGAAAGAAAGACGGCGATGTGGAATGTTTGTGGAGAAAGGGAAGTCTAGTGTGTACCAGGAGAATTGAGGAGAGGTGGAGGGGGGAGTAGTTTAGTGAAAGTTTGGTTAGAGAGTTGGTGTATGAATGAGTGATTAGTGAGTCGTGTGGTTGGAAAAGGGTTTTTTCATCGGGTGGTTACAAGAGGGCTTTGCGGGAGTGGGAAAAGGGGTTGAAGAAAGTAAAGGCAAACATGATGACCTAGAAGACAAATGCGCATCTGACAAGGAACAAGGGGCTCTCCTTTTCCTCTCAAGAGCACTGAGAATGACAATGTTGTAATTACGTAGCAGAAGAAGGCTCTCCCACTCAGGGCGGCCCTAACAATTGTGGGGCCCTAAGCGAAACGGAATGCGCGGGGCCCAGTCTGGGTTAGGGATAAGGATAATAAGTGAAAATTAAGATTTTGTATTAGAAAGTGGGGCCGTGAAAGTGCGGGGCCCACTGCGGCCGCATAGGTTGCCGTGGCCTGAGGCCTGCCCTGCTCCCACTTTCAGCGAGGTGCTCATACAAAGAATTTAAGAGTGTAGGAAAGAGAGAGAGCAAGAGAGAAAGAGAGTGGAAAGAGAGAGAAGGAGAAAGAGAAAATAAAGAAAAAAAGAGGAAACGAGAGAGAGGGAGAGAAAAATAGACTAAGAAAGGGAGAAATAGAGAGAGAACGATGGAGAGAAAGAGAGAGTGAGAAAATGAGGAAGAGAAAAAGGGAGAGAGAGAGAGAGAGAGAGAGAGAGAGAGAGAGAACGCGAGAGAGAGAGAAAGAGAGAAAGAGAGAAAGAAAGAGAGAGGCAGGGCAAAAGAGAAAGGGAAGGGGGGAAGAGAGGCAAAGAGAGAGAGCAAAATTAGAGCAAAAGAGAAAGAGAGAGAGGTAGAGAGAGAAAGAGAGAGAGGTAGAGAGGTAGAGAGAGAAAGAGAGAGAGGTAGAGAGAGGTAGAGAGAGAAAGAGAGAGAGGTAGAGAGGTAGAGAGAGAAAGAGAGAGAGGTAGAGAGAGGTAGAGAGGTAGAGAGAGAAAGAGAGAGAGGTAGAGAGGTAGAGAGAGAAAGAGAGAGAGGTAGAGAGGTAGAGAGAGGTAGAGAGGTAGAGAGAGAAAGAGAGAGAGGTAGAGAGAGGTAGAGAGAGAAAGAGAGAGAGGTAGAGAGGTAGAGAGAGAAAGAGAGAGAGGTAGAGAGGTAGAGAGAGAAAGAGAGAGAAGTAGAGAGAGAGGTAGAGAGAGAGGTAGAGATCGACATGCAGTGAGGGAGGGAGCGTGCTATAAGCGAATGATAGCTTATAAATCACGTGAATGAGTTAACGCTAGTTGAGAATGAGAAATTTGCAGAGTTTGTCTAAAAGTCTCAGTGATGGGTGTCATGTGTTAGGAGAGACGATACGTGAAATAGTTGAATGCAGTCTGATATTTTGTAAAGGGTTAAGAGTGGAAAAGGTATATTTGAAGGTTAAGATGCGTCATGGATGCCAGCCTTTCTGCTATAAAATAATGTAGCTGGGATAGAGTGGTGAACTGTAAGTCACAACGCAGGTGAAATCTTAAGAGATCCATTTAACATGAAGTCATGAAGGCACTACAATGGAGGTGAGAGGGAGATAGCTTAAACAGCGGACTGTGAGAAATAAAGGCAGACGATGTAAATCAAACAACGGACTGGGAGAAATAAGGGGAGAAGTGGGTGACTGGGGATATTTTGAAGGTGTCAGGGAGTGGGCTTCTCTAAGAGATAAATCTATTTGTAAATGATATGAGATGGAATTCTGAGATGAAAAGATGCAAGAGCGAGAAAGAGGTGGGGAGAGAAGTGGGCTGGGTTAGGTAAAATGGAAGTTAGTGAGTGGGAAATGTAGTGGACAGGACGTTGCCTAGGAGTGGGTCACCTTTGTAAGGCCACAGAAAATAATGTCAAAGTCTAGGACTCTGTTTCTTTTACCTAGCCCCTACAACGCTGTTGCATAGTGAGAAGTCAAAATAACCATGAACTTTATGTTCATGTTTTATATTGACCGGCTAAGTGTTAAATGCAGTCCAAAAAATTGCATTAGAAAAAAATCCGAATAGAAAAAAGGGTCGTAAACAAGAGTCCTCCACTTCTAAAACAAACATCTCAACTTTTGCCAGGCTGAAATTGTCAGTGTGAAGACCAAACACCATATCATTTACTATGATGTTAATATCTTAAATCATATCACAAACTGTGATGTAAATATCAAATAAAGCTTCATGAACTGCGATGTAAATATCAAATACAGCTTCGTGAACTGTAATGTGAAGGGCGTAGTGGTGGGGACTGAGTACAGGAGACAGTGTACAACAAAATAACTTGATCTTCTTCTTCTGTCCGCTTGTACAGTTGAGACATCGCTGGGAGGGGTCGCTGGGAGGGGTCGCTGGGAGGGGTCGCTGGGAGGGGTCGCTGGGAGGGGTCGCTGGGAGGTATAGTTGACGGATTGCCTCTAGATGTCAGGCCTGCTGGGGGGGGGTGTTCATGTTGGGGTGGGGGGGGGCGCTGGGGGGGGTCGCTGGGAGGGGTCGCTGGGAGGGGTCGCTGGGAGGGGTCGCTGGGAGGTATAGTTGACGGATTGCCTCTAGATGTCAGGCCTGCTGGGGGGGGGTGTTCATGTTGGGGATTTTTGGGGCGTCCTTCACACGGTCAATTCACTGAGGCGTGGTCTTACTAAGGCCCCGAAATCAGGCGGCCTGCTGGGGTTAGCTTGTTATGCAGGTTGGTTGACAGGCACTCTGACCATGTGGTCAAACTGATAAAAGTTATGGTTGGGGCCACACACTGGCTCATTTGGGGCGGAACCTATCATTTGTCTCATTTCCTGGTTGTGAGTGTGGTCCCTACCTCTCTTACCACCTGCGTGCCTTAAACATCTGAACTCGAAGATGAATATGTGTATTTTTTTTTTAATCCACAAAATTTTTATACCCGGGTTTACGCAATTTCCTCTTCCTTTAAATAATGTGTTTATATAAAACCCAATCCTTGTATAATTTGATCACGCTCAACCGAAGCCTTGGTGCGTTCTACGGATTATTTGATCACTCTCAACCTAAGCCTTGGTGCGTTCTACGGATTATTTGATCACTCTCAACCTAAGCCTTGGTGCGTTCTACGGATTATTTGATCACTCTCAACCGAAGCCTTGGTGCGTTCTACGGATTATTTGATCACTCTCAACCGAAGCCTTGGTGCGTTCTACGGATTACCTATTTGTTGTATAGTAACCTATGCAATGTTAAGACTACCAAAGTAAAATTCGTGTCTTCCATTCTTTGACAAAATAGAATGGCTTTCTAATGATTTGTGGATGACGTGAACTGACTTCTAAAGGGAAGTAACATCGTCATCCTGATTTCACAATGTATATCACTTGTTTTGCCCCTTATATTTTTAAACTGATGAATCATGTAACATTTCTTTTTCTGTAAATCGAAAGGCATGTTTGAAGTGATTGGTGTGACTCTATAGGTCTGTCTGTGTGTGTGTGTTACATTGTGTGTGTTTTGGCATGTGTGTGTGTTTGTGTTAGGGCATGTGTGTGTGTGTTTGGCATGTATGTGTGTGTGTGTTACTTTTTGTGTTTGGTCATGTGTGTTTGTGTGTTTGCGTGCAGTATGCGGCTGGCTGCCACTACTTGACCCGTTATGTTTATAACCTTAAAAATCAAATTTCTCTTATCTAATAAAGGTTCTCGTGTTGCGATAAAAGCATCTCGATCTGGTGATGATAAGTTATATAACAATCCCAGGATTTAATTTGATAATTTATTGAAAACAATGGCACAATATCAATATCTAACGACCAACAGCTTGCCATTGAGATGCATTAATTAATTACCATGGATACAAAGGCGATGAGAAGATACCAAAACAGCATTCTAACAGACAATACTTCAAACTTAGCACAAGAATTAATTCTCATTCTGAGCAACATTTCTTATTCATTATCTTACAAACCACAAGCATTTTTTTTTAAAACCAAAAAAATGATTTTTTTATGACCATAATAATAGGAAATTAAAATTATCATATTATTATAATGTATAATTAGATGTCTTCTTTTAATGTGGGTGTTACAGACATACAAACATGGACAGCGTCAGTGACATTTAAATGATCAGGGGGACACAACCAGGGATGTTTAGCCAACGATGACGCCGGGGTCACCGTGACCCGCCGGGATGAGCAGAGAGTCGATCAAGTGGATGACACCATTGGTAGTTCCAACGTCTGCCCAGGTCACTTTGGCGCCGCCCACAGTCACTGAGCCTGGAGTTGTGGATGAGTGTTTGAGACAATTATTTGTTGGCGCGGTAACAGAGGACGATAATGTTTAGCGATTACAGGTGGACCAGGTGTGTCCTGGAGGATATGTCGAAATTTTTTTTATATCAAAATCCAGTTCAAATATCATATTGTTTTGTTGTTTTTTTTTTTTTTTTCTTCAAAATAAAATCGATTTTCATCAATTATTTTATATATATATATATATATATATATATATATATATATATATATATATATATATATATATATTGTGTGTGTGTGTGTATATATATAAATATATATATAAATATATATATATATATATATATATATATATATATATATATATATATATATATATATATATATATATATATATATCATGGGTTTCAATCGACTTTTAAGCATATATTTTACAAGTGATTCAATATTATAGATAGATTGATGATTGGGAATCAGCTGATAAGCGTATTAAAAAATAAAAATATATCATTAGGGACGAATTAATTTTTATATTTTTTTTAAAGCCCTTACATTGTGTTTTACAAAAATAGACGCGGATGATATTGATACGTAAATAATTGTATCCTAAGCCTAACAGTTGCATAGAACACTTAACAGCAAAATGTTCTCAAATTCGGGCGATTATTTTCTCGTCAGTCTCGTGTCGCGTGTAGAATGAAAACTTAGAACATAACGATCTCACCAGAATTGATCTTGACCTCCAACTGGGTCCCTGCGAGAGTGGTCAGTTTTTGACCGTCGGACAGACCAGCGCTGTAAATTGTTCCCGGGACGACATGGTTCTTCAGAACAGCTGAGAACATAATTTAATTCACTTGTCAACTGATCGGTTTTGTTACGCATGGTTAACATCTAAGTCTGAGAGTAAATGATAGATTAAAATCTTCCCCTAATTGATGATAAATTTTACAGGTAAAATTTGAATGATTTCCCAGGTTGGTCTGGCCGGTCTGACTGACCAAGTAAAGTTAGAAAGAAGGTCACTAGATAATGAGACCAAAAGTTGTGTCGCCTGAAGTCATTCAGACCGGAACTGGGGAAGAGCAAAGTGTCGACCAAATTTAAGATTATATTCTAATAACTAAATCTGGTTTACTTTGTGAAACCCATTAAACCAGCGATTCTCAAACTTTCCCATCCTTATCTTATAGAGTCAGTGGTACATGGGACGGCCATCCAGGAGTTTCTTCCCCAAGCTTCATTAAGAGTTGAATTTAAAATCAACTGATACATGAAATGTCAACTGTGTAGCCATGAACATATTGTTATGTGAAGCTAGAAAAATCAGACATGGTATCGACCTCTTTGACATGGTATCGACCTCTTTGACATGGTATCGACCTCTTTGACATGATATCGACCTATTAGACATGATATCCCCCTTTTTTGACGCGGTATCGACCTAAGTTAAGTGCAAATAGTCGAGTACAGGGCACCCATCACACTCGTAAGACAGCTATTCGTGGGGACGAAGTAAAGATGAACTTTTGAACCTGTGAAGACGGCAGCCTCCAAAACGTGAGCTTAAAACAATCTTCCTTCCCACTCTGTCCCCACAAGCACACACAGTAAAATTATTCATCTGCCGTTTGCACTATCCAGACAAACAGAAACAATAAAATAATTTTGTTTTGAAAACTTACTGATCAGTTGTGTGAAATTGACCAGCAGATCCACATACGTATGACCGGGTAGTTTGTTCACTGCATCATTGGACGGGGCAAACACTGTGAAACTCTGGGCTGTAACAAGGGGGAAACAAAATGTTAAATATTTGAACATGCGACCGTGAGACCCTTAACATGTTTCTTGTAATCTCACAAATAATGATTCTAATCTAAACCTTTGCTTCAAATATTTTGTTCCCTTCGTCTATTCACCAATTTTAAAACTTGATAGGAAATTAAATATTTTCTCCTTCGTCTATTCACCAATTTTAAAACTTGATAGGAAATTAAATATTTCTCCTTCGTCTATTCACCAATTTTAAAACTTGATAGGAAATTAAATATTTCTCCTTCGTCTATTCACCAATTTTAAAACTTGATAGGAAATTAAATATTTTCCCCATTAGTCTTTTCATCAATTTTATAACATGAGATAAAATAATGTTTTATTAATTAAATGTAACAGATGCTGAAATGAATGTGTCCATCATTAAAGGTGCAAGCCCTTCTATGTTGTTTTTGACCTGATGTGTCCACCACTAACGGTGCAAGCCCGTCTATGTTGTTTTTGACCTGATGTGTCCACCACTAACGGTGCAAGCCCTTCTATGTTGTTTTTGACCTGATGTGTCCACCACTAACGGTGAAGCCCGTCTATGTTGTTTTTGACCTGATGTGTCCACCACTAACGGTGTAAGCCCTTCTACGTTGTTTTTGACCTAGTTATGTCCACTTCTTACCTGACAGTGCGGTCACGAGATCGGCTTTCAAGATAAGGTAGCCTATTGTTGATGTGGCGTTGTTCAAGTTCAGGGCTACCGGTATGGACTGAGTGGGGATGGGATACATGACCCTGTCAATGATGTGAACGATGCCATTGTCAGCTTGGATGTCAGCCTTCGTCACAACGCTGCCCTCCGCTGTAACCACCTGTCAATAGAGACAGAAGAGTGTGACAGGTCAGGGCATCTTAACCGGACTGTCACTGGATAGTGGAACAAGGACGCATTGCCCCCGAACGAACCAATCCAATGGATGAAAGATGCCGAGCCTGTACCAGCTGTTTAGCCTTCTATCCACAGAAGATAATCATTTGTACTAGTAGTTTAAAATCTGCATGAAAGTTGTCACTAACATTCAAACATTTTTTTATTTAAAAACTAGTCAATATACCCGGATTTTCTCGTGGTTTTATTCGTAAAAACATTCCTAAAGCGTCATCAGCTTACACGTAACCTATGGATCCTGTGAAAAATACTTGGCCAAAGTAGCAATCAAAATTTTTAAAATTCCTCCTATTGAAAGAAGGTTTAAAATAACTCATGTAAACATTGAATTTGGGGCCAATCTCGTGTTCAAGCTGATGACGGCTAAGAACCATGATTTAAAGACAAATCGAACTTTTAAAAGATGTCTTAAATGAACAATGAAGGTATTCACAAATGGCCATTAAAATAAATGGGATCCCCATTCCAACACAAAAGGGGACATTGTTGTTATCCCTAAGATTTGGGGACTATAAAAATAATTATATGTAAATTTAAAGTTAATTTTCATCCCTTACAATCGGAAAGAATGTGCAAAGATGTTGCCCCTTAGATATTTACTATTGGGGTCCCCATCGCCAAAAGAACTTAACATTTTACAGTAGCGACTGTTACAGGTTGGGTAACGAAAATAATTTATTTTAAAAATGGTCCCATTAAAATCGTTGTTTTTTTTAAAAATGAAGATGTAAAGTATTTCATTTAAAATAAAACTGCGCACCTCCAACCCCCCCTCCCCCCCCTACCTTTTTTTCAAATTTTCACTTCTCCCTTCCTCACACACATCTACTATATAGAGTTGGTAATAAAAAATGTATTAAAAAAAAGAACCCCTAGTACAGTACGCCCCTGGTAGGCCCAGCCGCCTTTTATGCACGCCCCTGAACTATGTAGTGATTCTAATCTAACATTCGACCCTCTTTCTACATGGGCAATGACCTAAACTTTCTTAAAATGGTACAACACTAACATCTGTACATGTAAAGATAAGGATTGCGTTAAACTACTAACCCTAACCCTAACTCTAACCTGGAGACTTAGTTGGGTGATGAGTAACGTCTTCAAAAACTCGACGACTCGTAATTACACTTTCTTTATATTGTCTGACCGTTTCAAAAGCCCTAAGCAAATTATTACGCTCTCTTTTAGTTGTTTAGTTTGTGTATGTTTTCATATCGATTTCTCAAACTGGTTTGTAATTTAGTCATTCAGGGTTTGGGGCGGGAGGTGCCCGTGACCATTGGAAGGGAGTACTGCCGACTTTGAATACCTGACCGCTCTTGTAGATATTTGTTCTGATGTGGGCATTCCCGGCCAGCGTGGGAAGGAGTTGGTCATTCTTGATGCTGCTGGCCGGTGCGAGGCTGGGAACAACATGGAACTTGAGAACCTCTTGAAGTAGAGTCTTGTTTGACGTGAGAGCCTGGACCAAAGACGCCGGCAGGCTGGACACGGCTGCGTCAGAGGGGGCGAATAATGTGATGTCTTCTGGTGACGAAAATTTGGGGAAAGTCACAAACATATTTTGAGGTGAATTCAGTTGCGGATCAAATAAAAGCACAGAAGGGAAAATACATTGAACAACTGTCCTGAATACATAAAAATGACATTGGTATTTTAGTAAGTGTTTAGAAAGGGTTCCTTTACCCATCGTTGTTCACTGCGTCGAGACGCCATATTTTAGTGCTTAGGAATTCAAATTGGGTAGCCTGATATATTTCATCAGCTAATAAAGACATTGATAATTATTGGGTAGCCTAACATATTTCATCAGCTAAGAAAGACATTGATAATTATTGGGTAGCCTAACATATTTCATCAGCTAAGAAAGACATTGATACTTATTGGGTAGCCTAACATATTTCATCAGCTAAGAAAGACATTGATACTTATTGGGTAGCCCAACATATTTCATCAGCTAATAAAGGCATTGATACTTATTGGGTAGCCTAACATATTTCATCAGCTAATAAAGACATTGATACTTATTGGGTAGCCTAACATATTTCATCAGCTAAGAAAGACATTGATACTTATTGGGTAGCCTAACATATTTCATCAGCTAAGAAAGACATTGATACTTATTGGGTAGCCTAACATATTTCATCAGCTAAGAAAGACATTGATACTTATTGGGTAGCCCAACATATTTCATCAGCTAATAAAGGCATTGATACTTATTGGGTAGCCTAACATATTTCATCAGCTAAGAAAGACATTGATACTTATTGGGTAGCCTAACATATTTCATCAGCTAAGAAATACATTGATACTTATTGGGTAGCCTGATATATTTCATCAGCTAAGAAATACATTGATACTTATTGGGTAGCCTAACATATTTCATCAGCTAAGACCTTGATTATTATGGCCATTATGTCATTTGTATTATATATCATGGATCTGAAAATATTTGACAATACGATAAAGATTGCCCGAGGGTTGCGGGGAAGGGGGGGGGGTGGTTAAGATGTGATTCCTTAACTTACTTGTTGTGTCCAGGGCGGGCTTCAAGTCTGCACTGACCACGAGATTGTAGAGAGTCGTGGCGCCGTTAGCTTTGGCCGCATCCAGTACACTGCCGGCACGAACCAGGTGTATGACTGCAAGTACGCTTGCTACTGTCAGATACATCTGGAGGAAAGAAAGAGATGTCACCATATTCATGACAGACTGTTAGATACATCTGGAGGAAAGAAAGAGATGTCACCATATTCATGGCACACTGTTAGAGACGTCTTGATAAAAGAAAGGGCTGTCACTACATTCATGACATACTGTCAGATACATCTGGGGGAACGAGTTGTCACCATATTCATGACAGACTGTTAGATAATCTGGATAAAAGAAAGGATTGTCACTGCATATATGACATACTGTCAGATACATCAGGGGGAAAGAGTTGTCACCATATTCATGGTATACTGTCAGATACGTCTGGAGAAAACAAAGAATTTACCCCATTATTCAAGACATACTGCCTGATGCATATGGGGGAAAAAAAGAGTTGTCATTAAATTCATGGCATAGTGTCGGATAAATCCTGAGGAAAGAAAGAGCTGTCACCATATTCATGACACACTGTTAGATACGTCTGAATAAAATAAAGAGTTGTCACCATATGCATGATATACTGTGAAATACATCTAGATAATATATTAAAGGGTTGTCGCCATATTCATGACATACTGTCAAATACATCTAGATAAAATAAAGGGTTGTCGCCTTATGTATGACACAATGACACCCCCAGTAGATTCTCATATTTTCTTAATATAATTCGTTTGTGACTAAAGTAAAAACTTGAACATCCGGACTATGAGTATCGATATTCCATGAATTACAAAATATATCATCTGGATTTCGTTCGATATGCGAAAGAGATGTCATAACTATGGCCTTTTAAGTCGAAACAGAGACAGGCAAATCCCAGTGCGTTAATGTACATGATTGAATCTCTGAAACAATACTCAAGTTATTTTTATTATCTTTGGTATGCCGGCGATTATCTGAAATCTGGGATTAGCTGGAATTGGATATTATCTGGAATTGGCATTATCCGGAATTGGGATTTTCCCTAAATCTATACCACAAAGATTGACCGTGTCATTTGTGATTTGTTTTTGAAAATCAATACTCGATTATATTTTGCCTCAATATATTTACTTTGACATTTTTTTTACACTGCAATGTTATAAAACCGCTTAGAGACAATGTATTCGTAGCTTAAAAGATTAATCGTGCATTCTATAGAGCTATTGATCCCTGTACAGCATAACTACTCAGTCTTTTAATATGATACACTTACCTTGTTAAGCCGGTGTTTGTTCTTTAACATCTAATGAATAGTTTTAAAAAAGTGTCGATTGTTAGTATTAGCACCTATGAGGGAATAGAGGCGTTGGTTTCCCCGTAGTGCTCGTCTTTTATATCCAGCCTTGATTTCATAACGTCTTCTCTCTCTGTTATAAAACCCGCTTCACCAAAACGTCCACATTTTTAACCTTTGTGACCTGGTTCGTCCTAACTTTAAAAAAAAAAACAACAACAAAAAAACTATGTCAAAACAAAAATTTGCTGCAAGTGTTGTGGGAATAGAACCTCTGGTGGCAGTGGTTCTTGAACAGTATTTTTTGGAAGGGGGCCGATGAGTTGTTTAAATATCACACTGCTGTACTCGTCTAATCAAAGCATATAATTATGTATTAATTAAAGAAAGTATGGTGTAATGGTGAGTTCAACAGGAAAGAAAAGAAAATTCCCGATAACGGCACTCAATGAGATTCTCCAAAATATAACAGGTGCGTTTGGGGCGTAATATTTTAATTGTTTAATTTTGTTTTACACTTTCAAAATGGTCTGATAAATCTGTGGTATAAAAATTGGGATGGGACATTTTAGAATATCCATATAATTCAGGGACTTGCGGTGGCTTTGAAAAAAAAAAAAGAGGTTGGGGGGGGGGGGGTTAACACTAATTTGGATTATCAAAATGTGTTTTTTCAAGTAACTTTACTAGATGAGAAGTTCGCGCGCTGCTCGCGCATGTGTGTTTATGTGTGTGCGTGCGTGTGTGTGTGTGTGTGTGTGTGTGCATGTGTGTATGTCTGGATGAGTAGATAGGAAATAAGTGTAATAATTATTTTTGTATATAAATGTGTTCCATTTGCAATATTTTAAGAGAGTTAAAGCCCCTTCAGCCTAGTGACGTCACGTTTGGTCTTAACTTCATGACGTAATAGATGGAGATTAACTGATCTGTTTAATCAAAAGTACAATTACTGAGATCTTTTTAATATAAGTACAAGTCAAAGAGATTTGTTTTATATAAGTACCAGCCAATGAGATCTCTTTTATATGAGTACCAGCCACTGAGATCTCTTTAATATAAGTACCAGCCAATGAGATCTCTTTAATATAAATACCAGCCCCCGAGATCGCTTTAATATAAGTACCAGCCACTGAGATCTCTTTTATATAAGTACAAGCCATTGAGTTCTCTTTATATACGTACCAGCCACTGAGATCTCTTTTATATAAGTACCAGCCACTAAAATCTGTTTTATATAAGTAAAAGTCTTTTATATAAGTACCAGCCACTAAAATCTGTTTTATATAAGTAAAAGATCTCTTTAATATAAGTACCAGCCATTGAGATCTCTTTAATATAAGTACCAGCCACAGATCCCTTTATATAAGTACCAGCCACTAAGATCTTTTTAATATAAGTACCAGCCACTGATATTTCTTTAATATAAGTACCAGCCAATGAGATCTCTTTATATAAGTACCAGCCACTGAGATCTCTTTAATAAAAGTACCAGCCAATGAGATCTCTTTAATATAAGTACCAGCAAATTAGATCTCTTTATATAATTACCAGCCACTGAGATCTCTTTAATATAAGTACCAGCCACTTAGATCTCTTTAATATAAGTATCAGCCACTGAGATCTCTTTAATATAAGTGCCAGCCACTGAGATCTCTTTAATATAAGTACCAGCCAATGAGATATCTTTAATATACGTACCAGCCAATGAGATCTATTTATATAAGTACCAGCCACTGAGATCTCTTTATATAAGTACCAGCCACTGAGATCTCTTTAATATAAGTACCAGCCACTGAGATCTCGTTAATATAAGTACCAGCCACTGAGATCTATTTAATATAAGTACCAGCCACTGAGATCTCTTTAATATAAGTACCAGCCACAGATCTCTTTATATAAGTACCAGCCACTGAGATCTTTTTAATATAAGTGCCAGCCAATGAGATCTCTTTAATATAAGTACCTGCCATTGAGATCTCTTTATATAAGTACCAGCCAATGAGATCTCTTTATATAAGTACCAGCCACTGAGATATCTTTAATATAAGTACCAGCCACTGAGATCTCTTTATATAAGTACCAGCCACTGAGTTCTCTTTATATAAGTACCAGCCACTGAGATCTCTTTATATAAGTACCAGCCACTGAGATCTCTTTATATAAGTACCAGCCACTGAGATCTCTTTAATATAAGTACCAGCCACTGAGATCTCTTTATATAAGTACCAGCCACTGAGATCTCTTTATATAAGTACCAGTCACTGAGATCTCTTTAATATAAGTACCAGCCACTGAGATCTCTTTAACATAAATACCAGCCACTGAGATGTCTTTAATATAAGTACCAGCCACTGAGATCTCTTTATATAAGTACCAGCCACTTAGATCTCTTTAATATAAGTGCCAGCCAATGAGATCTCTTTGATATAAATACCAGCCACTGAGATCTCTTTAATATAAGTACCAGCCACTGAGATATATTTATATAAGTACCAGCCACTGAGATCTCTTTATATAAGTACCAGCCACTGAGATCTCTTTAATATAAGTACCAGCCACTGAGATCTCTTTATATAAGTATCAGCCACTGAGATCTCTTTAATATAAGTACCAGCCACTGAGATCTCTTTAATATAAGTACCAGCCACTGAGATCTCTTTATATAAGTACCAGCCACTGAGATCTCTTTATATAAGTACCAGCCACTGAGATCTCTTTAATATAAGTACCAGCCACTGAGATCTCTTTAACATAAATACCAGCCACTGAGATGTCTTTAATATAAGTACCAGGCACTGAGATCTCTTTATATAAGTACCAGCCACTTAGATCTCTTTAATATAAGTACCAGCCAATGAGATCTCTTTAATATAAATACCAGCCACTGAGATCTCTTTAATATAAGTACCAGCCACTGAGATATATTTATATAAGTACCAGCCACTGAGATCTCTTTATATAAGTACCAGCCACTGAGATCTCTTTATATAAGTACCAGCCACTGAGATCTCTTTATATAAGTATCAGCCACTGAGATCTCTTTAATATAAGTACCTGCCACTGAGATCTCTTTAATATAAGTACCAGCCACTGAGATCTCTTTAATATAAGTACCAGCCACTGAGATCTCTTTAATATAAGTATCAGCCACTGAGATCTCTTTAATATAAATACCAGCCACTGAGATCTTTTTAATATAAGTACCAGCCACTGAGATCTCTTTAATATAAATACCAGCCACTGAGATATCTTTAATACAAATACCAGCCACTGAGATCTCTTTAATATAAGTACCAGCCACTGAGATATATTTATATAAGTACTAGCCACTGAGATCTCTTTATATAAGTACCAGCCACTGAGATCTATTTAATATAAGTACCAGCCACTGAGATCTCTTTATATATTATCAGCCACTGAGATCTCTTTAATATAAGTACCAGCCACTGAGATCTCTTTAATATAAGTATCAGCCACTGAGATCTTTTTAATATAAGTACCAGCCACTGAGATCTCTTTAATATAAATACCAGCCACTGAGATCTCTTTAATACAAATCCCAGCCACTGAGATCTCTTTAATATAAGTACCAGCCAATGAGAATATATGTTTAATTAATAATGTTTAACTGTAAAAGATTAAATTTTCCAAAATTACATTTCGTAAATAGAATTTTTGAAAGATCCACTCTCCCTTTTTAAAATAAAAAATTCTATTATGTTGAGATATGGTGGTTTTTATCTGTTAGTTCATGAGTACTTAACTAGTATATAGAACATTCGAGGTTGTTGAAGATAAGACCAGGTTAGTGTTGTCCCTGAACCAATTACATATAATTATTAATTCAAAAAGTTGTTTTTTTTTTCTTTTAGGTGGCCAGATCGATCTTTCCAGTCACACCAGCGCAACTGACCTATTTGCAGCCACTGGGGGGTACATGTGACTATGCATATGTATTAAGATCAACGTGGGCTTGTTTGTTGGTCTGTTTGTTGTTGTTGAGATGTTTGTAAAAAGTAGTCTAAAAACTACTGGCAGAGGCGTAGTGAGGGTGTTTGGCGCCCGAGGACAAGATCCATTTTAAAGCGCCCCCTTTTCTTTTTTGTCAACTCTCAAACCCATTATTTGTACCAATAATATAATATCAAAGCACATTTTGGCGCCCCTACTTAGCTTGCGCCCGGGGACATCTGCCCCCTTGATCACCCCTCGCTACGCCTCTGACTACTGGAAATTGAAATTTTGCACTTGTGTCGTCTACTCCATTATCCTAGATTAATTAGACACGAACCATTTGTGTCAATATAACAATAGAAGTTAAGTTTTAATAATAATTTTACAAAATACACAAGTATTCGTTTCAGCACATGCCTTCATCAGTACAACATTAAAACAATTAAATAAGTATACATTAAATGTAAATAATGTATATATACATATTTCCTTCCTAAAAAAAAAAAAAGGGGGGGGGGGTAAAAAATAGAGTGGGCGGAAAAAAAAATATATTATCCTAGAATTAACATAATTTATGTCAATTTTTTTATTGTCCGACCTCAGGTTGGCCCACGTTAGCCAAAATTTGTGTTTTCCCTTCTACGAGCTTCACAAATGGCCAAGTCTCATGGTTTTCCTCTGCCATGAACTTTTCAGTGTACGTTTTTATTGCACAAAAATGAACGTCTTTCCTTTGCGCTGTGCGTAAGATAGTTTTGCTCATCACATGAGAACATTGTGCTAAGTATTAAGTTACTTGACGTCTGAACCTTGTGAAAAGTTTTACTTTTTTAAAATAATTATTTCTAATCACACGATCAAATTTTCGTCTTTTTTTTTTTTCGTTTTGATGAGCGCGCTATTTGTTTTAATAAATTGTGCGTTCAAAAGGAAATTTCACGAAAATTAGACTCAAATTTCACGAAGTTTGATCGTGTGAACTGAGCATAAACTGAAGGAGAATACAATTTTTTCAACAAAAAACGCAACAACAACAACAACAAAAACACACACTTGCGGCCAATGAAAAGTACAATTCACCTCATCATATATAAATCCAGTAATTATATTATTAAATAAAATGAAATGAATACATTAGCTGCCTTAACAAATTTTAAACAAACATTAAATGTGAAATCGACATTCGTTTCATTAACAAGCTGC